GTTCTTACTTCATCCATGTTCTCAGTGGTTAGGTCAAATGTGCCACTAAATAATTTGGTAATATACATGTATGTGTGGCAGCTTTTAGATTTATATTAATTTATTATAAAAACCTGGTCACCACACTAACAACTAGTGCTGAAAATTCGGTAAATGGATCAATCTATAGTCTGTGTTTCCTCCAGCCAGGATTTTGAGTGGGGGTGTTCTCTGCTGGTAAAAATGGAGCTTTTAAGCCCAGAAGTATGGGGGCTGCTTATGGGCAAGCCCTGGTGGGGGGCACAGTGGGGCGAAGCCTCCCGAAGCACCTGCATGTGAAGGGTTTTAGAAGGTTAGAGTATATTTCTGATGCACACATTACTCAGTGTTAGCTAGCGTTACTCATTGCCACACATTTTCTGATAAAACATTTTTATTTTTTCTATCCAGAGMCAGTTATAGTTTCACACTGAGTGAGAAGTTCTTATTTCTTGCTCGACTTTTACAAACTATGGTTCAAATTAAAGCTGAGAAAATTGTGAATTTTRTGGTTACAAAAATGAAAAATACCTAATTTAAATGACTAACAGTGGCTTCAAATAAGCATTTGCATTTCACGTGTTTTGTATACAAGTCAGTGTGTTAACCAGATATTGGATATTCATTCAATCTGACCTGAGCCTTAGATAACTAAAATAAAATAACAAAATTCCTCTTTCATCAATGGTTGAAATAGAAAAAAGAAGTGGAAGTAAGTCCAGTGTTGTACTTGCTTTATGAGCTGTCAGCATGTGTTCCTCCCTGCAGGAATTGTGTACAACTCCACTGGGGTCCTGACTTGTTTCGACCTGTACAGCTTGTATGTGGAGTGTGCTGATCCTACTGGATGTGGACTGGGCTTCAACAGCCAGGCCTGGGACTACCAGGTACTCACTGATACGCAGTATTCAGGAATTAGACAGCACCAGCTGGAACATTGACAGGTGTACAGAGTTGTAAAGTAACTAAGTACAAATACTTTGTTACTGTACTTAAGTAGAATTTTTGGGTATCTGTACTTTACTTGAGTAATTATTTTTCAGCCTGCTTTTTACTTCTACTTTTTACATTTTCACACAATTATCTGTACTTTCTACTCCTTACATTTTAAAAAAGACAAGAAGTAGAAAGTTGTTACTTTTATTTCATTTTTGCTTGTTTTTATTCAGCTTGTTATTGTAAAAAATAAATACAATCCATATAAACTGTGTCTTCTAGATAGAGTGAATTTAACTGTGGTTGAATGAGAAGTATAAATATATGAAATTCTGATACCGTATTAGTTTGTACAGAAACAAATCATGTCATACTCCACCAGGACATAATCATTAAAATAAAAGTACTGTACTTAAAAAGTATTTGTATTTCATGAATTATATTATTGCATTTGGCCGCAGCCCTCAGATAGATTTTCATTTTGGAGAAAAGGTTTGGGCAGCCTTGATATACAGCGGGTAAAATAAGTATTGAACACGTCACCATTTTTCTCAGTCTTCAAATCTTGAAGGTGTCGTGGACCTCTTCTATGAACTCTGATCTTTAGTTCTTTCCATAGATTTTCTG